GGTAAACTGGGGGCTTTGTCTTTGCTGTCCAGAGCAGCACTGATCAGACCCAGAGCTCAGCTTGCTTCTTCTCAGTCTCATTTTTCTACCTTTCCTGTAATTCGCCGTGTGCTGCCGTGGCTCGCAGGAGACCAGGACTCACTGCAGAGGTTCTGGTAACGTCCCCTTCCCCTGTCCCCTACACTCAACTGTTATAGAAGCTTTTATTTGTAGATACGTTTTTCTTCTTAAGCCGCTTTCAAATAATGATGAAAAGAGGAAGAATATGACTAATTTTTCCCTTTTCCATAGAGGATCTTCTATTAGTATGATGCAAATTCTCTTTTTCTTTTTTCAGAAATGAAGATCAGAATACCACAAATGATACACAGTAAAACTGTGATTAACTGGAATGCTCAGGACATAGTCTTCTGGTTAATAAACATTACTGACTATACTAAGTAACCAGAAAGCCACTTATTTCAGAGTTTGTTGCTAAAATATATTAGTTCATTTTTTGGACTTAATGAGAATAATTAAGTGACTGCATTTTTGTCTTTCCTTCTTTGTGATGAAACAGCTATAAGATCATCCTTCTAAATATTAATTCTCATTGTACAATATGGCAGACAAATTGCTAACAGAGCTGAGGATTTAGCTCAGTGGCACCACGCTTGTCTCACAAGAGCAAGGTCCCGAGTTTGATCCCTGGTACCAAAAAAAAAAAAAAAAAAAAAAAGAAATTACAGATCGGGATTAATGTGTTCCACCCCTCTGGATGATTTTTCCTGTGTTAAATTTATTTATTTATTTATTTAGGTACTGAGGATTGAACTTGGGACCTTGCACTTGCAAGCTTGCAAAGCAGGCGGCGGAACCACTGAGCTAAATCCCTGGCCCCAGCCTGTGTTAAATTTTTTGTTTGTCATAGTCTCTTTCTCCTAAATGAGGAATACAGGGGGAAAAAACCCAGTTAATTGAGGCCTCTGATTAGGTGGGTTCTGGTTAACCAGGGATTTACTGTAACTACTCAGCAATGGAGAAACAAAGAAAAGGTATTTGCTTTGCATTTACGAATTAGCTGTAGTGCTATATTTTACATGATAATTGATAATGAACATACAACATAAGACAGCATAGTAAAGTAGGTTTGTTGGTAAGATTCAAAAGTGTTAGGCTTCCTAAATACTTAGGAGTTGATGTTTCATAATGAATTAACTTCAAAGAACACATCAGTCGTTTCTTTATAAACAAAATAGAAGTACTTCCATCTTAAATGTCTATCGTATGCTCACCCATGCTCTTCACATAATTCAATCTTGGAACAGAATAACTCATCCACAGCCAGTCGTATCAAATTTCCATGTGGAATTTCTTGGGGAGGACTAAAATAATTGTAAAACGCATGTAAGAACTGCTTCAACATTATATATACGTCAATACATTATTAGGATAACAAATTCTACAGGCCAATCCATTATCAGCAGAACCAAGTATACCAATATAACCTCTGTTATCCATCTATGTACTTCCAGATAGCATAAAAACCACTGGAACGCATAATGATACATAAAGTTTTCCAAGAAACAAAGTTTTCTGTAGTGATCCTGAAATATGCAGTCGTTGCTGCTTTACTTAAAAAAAGTGCCTCAAGTGAAGAAGAATGACCAGTATGGTGAGTAGAAACTAAGATCTAAAGCTGGGCGTGGTGGCGCATGCCTATAATCCCAGCATTCAGGAGACTGAGGCACGAGTATTGTTAAGAGTATGAGGCCAGCCTGGGCTACATAGTAAGACCCTGTCTCAAAAAAACTAAAAATCAAACAAACAGAAAAATCACTGTTGGACTCAGATGCAGACATTGTTTTAAATACAAAAAAAAGCCAGAAGCTTAAAAATTTAGAGTATGATGACAATATTGAGAGAAGTATTAAATATTAACATAAAATTAAAATTTCATTACAGTTTCAAAACATCTACAGATTAAAAGACACTAGTTTTTTTCTTATTTTTTGTGGTGCTAGGAAAAGAACCCCAGGGTTCATGTTTGTGGCTACCACTGAGCCACACCCCCAGCCCAAGATACTAGATAATTTATGAAACACTTTTTAGTCTCTTACGATGTAGAGTAAGAAAATATTTTTCTTTGGTAGATTTCAAAATCAACATCATTATATCAGCAACACAAGGAAACTGTGTATTTCAGAAAAAAAAAGCGATAAATTAATAAGGGTGTGTTATGTACATTCCCAAGAGAGAACAATCTATTAGGCTGTTTTTCTAGACCACAGGGCCAAACCCCCTCTCTGACATGTTTGGGTCTGTTTTTCCTCCCAACAATGACCTTTTCCGACTCTCCCCTGGGGCTGTAATGATTCCCAGCACTCCACAGGGCTTGCCAATTTGGCCTCTGTCCCTGTCTTTTGCCAGCTTGGCAGGCTGCCTTCTCTCTGAAGCCAAAAACACTGCTGGCTCCTAGCACTTTCCCAGCAGTGTAAAAGCTTTTCACATCCATTCCTCCAGGTATGACGTGCCAGATTTGGTCTACCAGATCTCTGCCTGCAATTACACCCAGGTATTGATGTGAAAGAGTATTTCTAATCCTCTTGCTCATGTGGAGCCAAGATCATTCAGAGGGTAAAATATCACAAAGCACTGATGTGTTCTTCCAGAGGTTAAACCCACAGAGTTACCTACACAGTCATATTAGTAAAAACACAGCAAAACACTTTGTTTTGAGTAATCCCATTATTTTACTACTGAAAGAGTTATCACTTGGTTCTTGTATAAATATTTATAAGTAAAAGCAATGTTTACTCAAAAAAAGTACACATGATGAGAGAGACTTTAGGGCAACTTACTTTATATTAATTGAGCGCTGCTGATCTTCCTGTGCTCGAGTTGGGCATCGCCAGTTGGAACAGTAACTTTCTTGAATGGTAGACATGAGATTTTCCAGATTTTTTGTAAAATTATCATGCTCATTCCCAAACAGATCAATTACTAATGAAGCTTTATGAACTTCAGATTTGTATTGCTGTTTTTCCATCTTGTCCCAAATCCAAAGTAGCTTCACAGTTGTAAAACTGTAGGTGTCCATTAAATAAAGAAAACAGTCTACAAACTCTCTACCAAAATGAAGAGAGAGTTCCCTGGGGAAATTTTCATTCTCGTTAAGAATGACATACAATAACATCAAGAATCCATCTATGGTGCAGGTATTTTTTAGTCTTATTTCTACATAGAGTGGTGTACAGGATACTGCTTTGCGGCCAGCTTTGATAGTAAAAACACCTCCCCAAGGAAGAACAGGCCTCCAAAACGATCGATCTTGGTTATAGTTATTTTTAATTGATGCTTTGATCTCTTCAAACAGTGTCTTCATCCTGCATTTAAAAAGTTTAAAATAAAACATACAAAGGCATGAGATACATCTAAATTAAAAAAAAAAACCAACCTAAAGATACAGGTTGTTAGACACCTCCCAATGTTAACAAAATAAATTTAAATGTAGTGTTTTTGGGGGCAAATCTTTTTTTGAGGTATAAAATGGTGATTTGATAGGCCTATACATTAATTACATGATTTTATCTGTAATATAGAAAAACCCTGTTAATAAAAAACCCTAAATAAAAAGATATTTAAGGATACAAAATAAATGTTTACGCATATTCCTAAGTCTTCTCCTTCCAATATACCAGCTGTGCTTCATTTCGTTATTATAGGTGGTTCCACTTAAGAAACTGACATAACAAGATACTTAGTTTGGGGTGGAAAATAATATCCATTTAGTGGCCTTTATATTAATTATACTACACATATATAACATACGAACCATGTAATAATAGCACCTATTGCTAATGATGCAGACCAGTTCTGACATTTAACTGTGAAAGGCACTTGAGGAGTAATCACGAGAATGTAACTGAAGTAACACAGCCAATTATTTCTTTTCACTTTAGGATTTTCACTTGCAATTTAGAATTGTGCTAGATATCCTGTATTTATTACAGATGTCATGGTATGAAACCTGATTCAGGTCTTAATATACTGATTCTCTTTCCCCAGGTTTTTGAATAAACAGAAATATCCTTCCCTTAACCGTGAGGAGTGCTAAACATTGTTTTAAAAGCCACTGGCAGGATTAAAAAAAATAAAACGTGTCATGTGTGTTATATAAAGTAAAATTTAAAACCTAAAATTGTACTGAAAAGGTCGTTTACTGGATTTCACTTTATTTAGGACAAATGTATAAATCAAAAACATACTGTTTTCCAATGTTACTTTTACAGAAAAATGTATTTTTGAGAAAAAAAGGAAGCATCTGAGGAATAGAAAGAAGCGACTGAGGTCTGTCTTATTTTGACCGTCTTTTCAAGAGCCACATCCTCACAAGTCCAGGAGATCAACCCTCAATAACACTGCAGACCTGAGTTTTGTGTAAAAAACCATGTTCAAAACTCTTGCAATAGCAGACCAAAATTTCGTTTCTGCAGCATATGAAACACACATGTGCATTGTTTCCTACTTGAAGCATGATCCTGTGCGCCCCGAAATACTAACGCTATATTTAGTTTGAAGTGTAGTTATTTATGTATCATCAGCTAACGTGTTGGACTTAGTCAACCACTTACAGGGTGTGGCAAATCTGAAGCCTAGGAAAACTAAGTTCTTAACAGAAACCAACTCGTGTCATTTAGATTTAAAAAAAAATAAAAAGCATAAGCCATTCAAATACTTTAAAAGTGAAAAGACCTTTTTTCATGGGTTGAGTTTTATCTGTTAAGTTTTTAAAGAACCTTGTAGCAAGGTTCAAGGTTGCCTACAGGGCTTGAGTTAAGATTCCTAAAAAAAAAAAAAAAAAAAAGATTCCTAAATATTTCATTGGAAGGGAGAGTAAATCTCTAGCATTTTTCTTCAAACTCTCTTAGACATGACCAAAATGAAGGTTAACTGTAAAGCAATGGTTATAATCCAAGAGAATTAAACTATAGTGATACGTATGGCACGAAACTAACTTTACAGGAGGGTTGAAGAACAATGACAATGTAGTTTCAGCATTAACTCGGTGATTTGTTCAAAAGTAAACTGCAATAAAAATAGGCGGAGTAGGAACACGGAGGGGGAGAGCCGCTTTTCTTAAAACTCCCTTAAGTGGTTGCCACATCTCTGAAAAGGCTGCTGTCAGGCACAGTGTTGGAAGCACTGGGGGTCGCCTTCCTGCGGCTTGATTTTCCCGCACCAAAAGGGCTTCCAGTTTGGATAAATCCGGACGACTCCCTAACCGCTGCTTCCCTGACAAAACGACCCCTTTCCTTTACGGTCGTCTGCAGGGGTGGCAGCAGGTTCCCCAAGCTGCCCCCAGCACTGAGTGCCGGGCCCTCCTAGGGCACCTCGGAGGCTCCCCCGACCCAAGGCCCCCGAATGCCCCTCTGCAAACCCGGGCGCGCAGAGCTCCGGGCAGGGCGCGCGAGGGGCACTGTCCTGCAGCCCGCGCCCGGCAGGCCCGGCCCGGACCTCGGGGCGCCCCGCACCGGCCAGTCTCAGTCCCCCAGGAAGCCGACTCCTCGTACCTCCCCGGGGACCGAAAACCGCCGGTGCCGCCGCACCCGTCGCCGCCGCAGCTTGCTCATGGAGAGCCCGGGCTGCCCCCGCCGCCTCATCTGCTAGCACTGCGGGATGTCTCGGTCTCCCCCGGCGCGAGTGCTGGGCTCCGGTACGGCCTCCATCGCACCCGCCGCGGCGGGAGCCACAGCAGCTCCGGCGCCCAGGCTCGATCCGACCGGACCCACGGAGCCAGGACCGCCAGACGCGTCGCTTCTTATTACGGAGGAAGATTCGGCCTGACCTCCGGCCCCCCTCCCCACAGGACCCCAGCTTCCAGGAGCGGGACGGCACCGCTGCGCACGCGCGAAGACGCCCGGGCCAAACGTGCGTGTGTCGAGTGTGTGTACAGCGTCAGAGTTTGCCCAATGGGAACCAGGGTCAGGTGTGCGGGGCGGGACCTCGCCGAGAGGGGCTGGGCTCTAGCGTGAGAAGGTGGGTGGGGAGGCCGGAAGTGGGCTGGGCTTGGACGGAGGCAGAACTTCACTGTCAAACGCAATTGGCTTTCTGAGGTTTGTGCCATTTTAGGATTTGATTTTAGTTTGATTTTAGGTCCTGCGCTCTTAACTTACTATCTCTGAGGAGAAAGCTTTATTCTCAGTAAATCATATGAGATTTTTGACTTAAGCATACATTTAGGAAAAAGATGGTGTTTTAAATGCTGTTAGTGTTCAAGATTAGACAGTATGCTGTAGTTTACAATGGATGTTAATACCAGTTTGTTTTTTTATTTTTAAAAAGTTAGTACATGTGTGCAGTACATAATGTTTACATCCCTTGCAGGAGGGAGTTGGTACGTGTACATGACACATCTTAATTCCTTTTCCCTCTGTTCCCTCAACCCTCTCCATCTCTTGATCCCATTCCCATTTGAGAAAAATCTCCCCACTTCATATAATCTATATTTTATTTTGCTCTTTATTTATAAATTGGGTTTCTCATATTACAGAAGTCATATGATATTTAAGCTTGTGTGTCAGGTTTATTTCACTTAATTATGGCCTCAAGGTGCATCCGTTTTCCTACAAATAACTCATTTATCTTTCTTTATGGGAGAGTAGTACTCCAGGGTGTATAAATACCATATTTTAAAATCCGTCCCTCTGTTGATGGATATATAAGTTGTTTCCAAGATTTAGCTATTGTGAATTGTGCTGCTATAAGCATGTGTTGCTGTAATATGATGTCTTTAACTTTTTTGGGAAGACATCTAGAAGGGAAATAGCTGGGTTGAATGGAATTATCCATTTTTAGTTTTTTGAGGCATTTGCATACTAATTTCTATCGTTGTTGAACTAGTGTAAATTCCCACCAACAATGTAGAAATGTCCTAGAAGCCTCACCAGAATTTGTTATTATATGATTTCTTGATGGTAGTCGTTCTTTCTGGGGTAAAATGGATGCTCAGTGTTGTTTTAATTTGCATTTCTCTAATGGCCAGCAATGTTTGAGCATTTCTTCATGTAATTATTGGCCATTTGTACTTCTTTTTTTTTTTTTGGTACCGGGGGTCGAACTCTGATCCTTGCGGTTGCGTAGCAGGCCATGAAACCACTGAGCTAAATCCCCGGCCCCATTTGTACTTCTTATGTGAACTATCTATTCATTTACTTGCCCATTTTTTGATTGGGTCTTTTTTGGGGGGCTATCTAATTTTTTGAGTTTTTGTTATATTCTAGATATTAGTCCTATGTCTGAGGAATAGCTGACAAACATTGTTCATAGACTGTAGGTTGTCTTCTCACTCTGTTGATTGTTTCTTTTCTGTGCAGAAGCTTTTTAATTCTTTATGATCCCATTTCAACAAATGGGCACTATTTCCTGTACAACCAGGGTTCTATTCAGAAAGACCTTGCCTACCATACACCTATGACTTCAAGAGTTTTACCTATTTAGTCTTCTAGGAGATTAACTGTTTCTGTTTTAACATTTAGCTCTTTGATCCATTTTGATTTTAGTGTAGTACATGGTGAGAGAATATGAATCTAAGATTCAATCCTCTGCATGTGGCCAGCCAGTTTTCCCAACACCATTTATTAAAGAGGCTGTCTTCCCTCCAGTGTATATCTTTGGCCCCTTTGTCAAAGATCAAATAGTTAAATATGCTTGAAAAAGATAGCTTTAGCCTTACTATAGCGTTGAAATTAGCTCTGGAGATAATAAGTTTCTACACAGGAAGTGACAGCTGGAAATTGAAGTTAGGGCTACTTAATACTGTTGTTTGGGCCTGATTTTTTTTTTTTTTTTTGGTACCGGGAAGGGCCTGATTTTTAAATCCTCCTTTAGAGTCAAAGTCCCACCCAGATAACACAGGCCATGCTGGAAAATTGCTTTCACCTGCAATTAGGAATGAGAATGTTGAGATTTTTACCATTCAGCCATTCAACAGTGTCTGTAAAGTGAGGCCCAAACTCCAGAATCCAGCAGGGCTGATTTAGAGCCAGCCCACCAGAGCTGTGTGGTTCTCATTGTCTGAGCTGAAGGGAGGTTGGATACCTTGTTATGAAATAGTCAGCTGTGGCTATAGCAAAGAGCTTTCTCTTGAACCTCTCTCAAGGAGTCTGGTGGACAGAGGGAGGCTGGAAGAAAAGATTGACTTATTCAGGATTACTGCTGATGGAGATGGGAAAAAACTATGTCTCTCAGAACAGAGGGGGAAAGAAGATGGCCCTGCCCAAAAAAGAATAACTAGCAACTGGAAAAGTCTGGTCTTTTTAGTTTCCTGGGTTTTCTAATTTCTTACAGTATTTTAGAGATGAAAATACTGAGGTTTGGAGAAATTCCTAATGTGTTGGAATTTATGTGCAGAAAGCTCACATGTTAAACACACTCTGCAACTAAAAAATCTTTTAAAAAGTTTGTAGATGTGAATTATATGCATAATTCATAATATCTTACAAGACATGGAGTTCATTTCATGCTGATTAGGTCATTCCCTTCTGAAAACAGACATAATGGTGGTTGATACCATTTCTGGAGAAAAGCAGTGGAGATGGCTCATATCTCTGCTAAAGCTCAGCTGCGTGGAGGAAGCAGAGATTCTTTGCATACTTGGATAATTCACAAACATCACTGAGATTTCCATTCTGCTTCCATTCCACTGTCCTTCAAACAGGACAGCTGAGTTGTAGATTTTTTGAAAAGAATTATTCAATCATAGTAATTGTACAAATTATTGATTTTCACTGTGGAATTTCCATGCATTCATGTCATTCTTTGATCGTATCCACCCTCTCCTCCACCCTTCCTTGCAGGTCCCTGTCTCTCCTTCCCCCTTTCAGTTTGCCTCAGAGTCAGATTTTTAAAAATAGTATTGAAATATAATTGACATACAATATATGCAAGATGTTTAAAGTGTAATTTTTCCCTCCCTGCCTCCTACACATAAGCAACTAGTGATCTACTGTCTTTAGGTTTAATCTTCATTTTCAAAGTTATATATAAAAAGAGTCATAATATATAACCTTGTATTGGTTGGTTCCTTTCATTAATTCTAATTATTTTGAGATTCTGTGTACAGTAGTTCATTCCTTTTTTTTTTTTGATAAGTCTATTCCATTGCATGGATGTACTGCAATTTGTTTACCCACTCATCTATCAGTAGACATTCAGGTCATGTCTGGTTTCAAGCTGTTATTGGTAGAGTGCTATGAAGATTTGCAAAGCTCAGAGAAATATATGTGGACATGTATTTCCTTTTCTCTTAGGTAAATATCTGCAAATAGATGGTTGGATCATATGGTAGGTGTATGTTTAACTTTCTAAGAGTTTCCTATGTTATTTATCAATGGTTGAGCCATTTTACATTCTGATAAGGAATATGAGAACTTGAGTTTCTTTGCATCCTCATCAACACTTGGTATTTAAAAAAAAACTTTGTTCCTTTATTTTTTTTGGTACCAGGGATCAAACTCAGGACCTTGCGCTTTCGAGGCAGGCACTAGAACCACTGAGCTAAATCTCTGGCCCTACTCTTGGTATTTTTATTTATTTATTTGTTTGTTTGTTTGTTTGTTTTTTTGAGACAGGGTCTCGCATTGTAGTTCATGCTGGCCTCGAACTTGCCGTGATCCTCCTGCCTCAGCCTCGAGTGCTGGGATCATAGGGGTGTGCCACTATGACTGGTTTGCACATGGTTTGTTTGTTTGTTTATTTATTTATTTATTTA